CCTGCCACTCAAGGCCCTGCTTCCACAGACGCCTTCTCAGACCTCACGCTGGCCCGCCAGGGCTACCCGCGGATGGCGTTCTCCGCCTGCTTCGGGGGCATCATCTTCAGTATCCTTCCGGGCTGTGCTGGGCAGCGCTGGGCAGGGTCCCAGGGCACCGGGTCCTTGGGCTGCAAGGAGTCAGTGTCCCCAGGCAGCGGTCTCCCCGGGCCCTGGCCTCTGCTGTGGAGGGACAGGTGGGGACAGAGTGTGACGGGCGCCAAGCTCTAGGAGACTGTGCCGAGCAGGCAGGGCCAGGGGCCGTTGTTCCCGGGCCCTGGTCCACCTGGGCAGAGGGCAGCCGGGTGGCCCCGGGAAGAGGGCCTTTCTCCTGGCCACCTTACTTTGGTGGCTGCTGGGGTCCAACCCAGGCCTGTGCAGGAGGCCAGCCTCCACCGCTGGCTGCCCCCAGCCCTAAGGGCTTTGAACCTGCTGTCCTGGAGATGGCCTTGACCCACGCACTATCCTGGGTCCCGGGGACTGTGGGTGGCGGCTCCCTGTGGGGCTCATGGTGCCGAGCCCTCCTGACCCCTCGTTTGGTCATGAGGCCTGAGTGAGAAACGCGCTCAGCACACCCTCCTCCAGGCGCTAACCCTGGAGCCCGGCTCTTCCGTGGGGCCCCTGAACGTGGGCAGTAGGACAGATGACAAAGCCACGCTCCTTCTGGCCCTGGCACCCCAAGTCCCAGCAGGAGGGCAGGAGGGTGGTGGCCGCTGCCCTGTGGAGCTTCCTGAGCTGGCTGCAGACATCCTGGTGGGCGTGGGGCTGGGCTGCCTGCTGCAGATAGCCTGGGGCCACGTCCCCGAGGTGAAGGTGAGCGGGGGACTCAGGGGCTCGGGGGGCTTGGGGGGCAGAGCATCCTTGGGTTTAAAAAAAAATGAAGAAGAAAAAAAGGAAAGAGAGGGAGGGAGGGAAGGGGGAGGGGGAGGGAGAGGAGGGGGAGGGGCAGAGGGAGGGGGGAGAGAGGACCTGGGCGAGGACAGAGGAGCACCCCACAGGGCCGGGAGACCCTTCCCACCTCAGTGACTCCCACTTCCTGGGGTCGGGTCCGTGAATTCCCAACAACTCTGAAGTGAGAATATCTGCTGAGTTGAAACAAGCGCGTTCCTTTTGCGTTGCTGAAGCAGCTGGGAGTCAGAGTGGGACACAGGCGGTGCCCACCTGCCGGCCCGCTGGGTCCAGGCCGTCCTGAAGTCTCTTGCTGTGTGACTTTGAGTGAGGTGGGACATCTCTGTGCCTCAGCTTCCTACCTGTAAAATGGGGTAGATGGCACCTCTAGGCCTCCCGAGTGGGGACAGAGCCAAGCTGATCGCGGGTCCCGGGGCTGCCCACAGGGCGCTGGGAGGAGAGGAAGGCAGGCGCCCGCGGGTTCGGGAAGGTCTGAGACGCACGGTGGGTGGCAGGTTCTCAGGGCCCCTGTGGCCTCCTGACCCCTGGGGGGTGTCTGGGAATGTGCGGGGTGCTGGGCCCTGAACCAGGGACCTCTTGCCGCATGCTGAGCCAAGCTCCCGCTCTGGGCTGCACCAGCCTGCGCTGCGTCTTCTCCCAGCTGCCCGGGTGCCCATGCGGGTGATGTCAGGAGACTGTCCTGACAGGCGGGAGGCAGGGCCAGGCTGGAACAGGAAGGACTGGGTGACGCAGGTGGCTCCTGTGGCCAGTGAGTCGAGTTTAGAGAAGAAGGTAGCTAGGGTCTGGGCAGTGCTGTCTCCTTGCAGATGAAGCCTGAGGCCAGCAGAACCTGACGGCCGCCTGCCCGAGCTGCCCCGGCTGCTGGAGAAGGAGGGGCGTGGGTGGCCGAGGCTGGTTTAAGCCCTTGCAGGGGAAGCACTGGGGGGCCGGGGGCTGGTGGCTGGTGGAGACCAAGTCGCTCCCCAGTCTCTGGGAGCCAGGGGTCCTGAACAGACCCTCTGCCGCTGACTTGCAATTCGTGGCTCTGCGTGCTGGCCAGGGCGGCTAGCAAACAGCTGCGTGGGCTTGGGAAGTTGGCTTCTCGGAGAGGTGACACTGCTGCACACGGTCACCCTCGTGGGCTCCAGAGCACTCCCTTCTCATCATGGATTCTAAGGCCATTCCGAATAGAGGCGGTAGCACCACTCCCCCCCCCCC